AACAGGACACTTCCATCTATGAACAGCGAAAGGCCTACCTTACATGACAGACAAGTGACGAATTTTCAACACCTCAGCTGAACATCAGATTGCCAACGGTGAAAAAGAAGCTGCCCTCCCTATCAACGCGAAGTTCAAAACTGACAAAAGGAATGCAGGAGTAACTGCCGATACTGTCTTCTCTCTAATGTGTGCTATGATCATAAGCGAAAAAATACCTCAGACTTCTATTATTTTCACTCACCTCGTCAAATCTATAGACAACCACTGCTCCGTCAGCGATATAGCAAGTGAGGTACAACGTTATCTTGACCGGGGCCACAATAGTGACACCACAACCATCCTTGATTCCAACGTAATGTGCGCACATAAAAGTCAGCGAACGGGCAAATCAGATCGCCATCCCAATGACTCTGACCAAGTACTTCGCATAAGGAAACATCTCTGCAAGACGAACACGCATAACTCGAGGCCATCCAATCAGAAACAGACACACAGACATGCCAGTCAAATCTCTCTGCAGAAATTGCATGAAGGATTGCGCATGATTCAAGGGTCGCACATTTCCACCGATCCAGCGTTCAAACACACGTCGCAACCGCAGATACCAAAACAAGGAAGATTCCTCCACCACCTGCGCAAAATGCAAGGGGAACTAAAATGGCAAAAACGAGTGCGGCCATCGCGCTCATGTCTTTCGTTTCGTACAACGACCGAGTCATGTGCAGTGCACAAACTTCACCCTTTCTCTGCGTTTGCAGAATCCTCAACCAGGATCCGACACCCACTACCGTCTGAAGAGCACATTTCTATTGATGTGGTCATGTGCTGCTTTTGGGTGTTTGATGTCATATATGCTATCATTACACCCCTTTAATAAGATAAACGTCAAATTGGTTTGTCAGGAATTGACATTCAGAGGAAGCCTGATACTGTAAATTTAACATTATCTTATCTCTATTTATTTCTGTCACAAAGGTCCTATAAGTAGGCTACGTTAATGCTTGCATACGAGACGAGTTATATGATTCACCACTTCTTTGTCCGTGCTGCTCTAGTTATTTTGCAAGCGAACGAGAATGGAATATTGATAAATCGAACAGCAAACTTATTTTTGAATCACAGTTATCGCTCCGCTTGTTAATTTTTTTTTTTTTTGCACTGTCAGATTCTCTACTCACGCTACTACTGCAACAGCATCCGGTACTGCCTTTAACTTGTGGTGAAATAACCCTCACTGTCACTACTACTAACACACTCAGCAAAACAGACTATATAATAAAACTATAAACAAGAACGGTTACTACATTCAGACACAGTTATAGTTATTGCATACCAGCTGGGTTGACAACATGAAGTTTGTCCAATTTCTGAGGACTTCTAATGGGACCCAAACACGTGGCCTTGGTGTTGAGCTGCCCCTTTCAGACGAGATTGTGGACTTGTCTGCAGCTGATCCCACAATACCCACAGATATGAAGACCTTTTTGGAAGGATCCCGGAAACACATGGTTACGGCCTTACGGTGAGTTTAAGTTCGTTGCATTGTGTTTGAGTACCGTGGCTCTCCAGTTTAACATAAGAGAGCAGTTATTCGATTTCTAGCTTGTATTATTGAATAAGATCGACAAATAATGTCTACTTATTTCATGCTGATCCTTTCCTGTTGTCTAATCAATTTTTGATCCTAAGATGAAATTCATCAAGGAAGGCACCATAGTTTTTTTTTTAACCCGTGTACTTTCAATCTTTTTTAAGATCATCTCCAGGGGTAAATTACAAAGACAAACTTAATGTAACTGCGATAAAATCTGCATTCCGTTGTCATAGTGATTTTAAAAATACGCGTGAACGCTCTCTGTTATAAGCTGTTTTAAAATTTTAAATTTATTCGTTGTATTTATGATTTTTTTTTCTTTTTGCAAAACAAACGTTTCAATATAAGGAAGGTGACCGGAAATTGATAGAAATATTTGTTTTAAACAAGGTTTAAAAATGCATTTTAAAATTGAAAAATCTTTCTAGAAGCTTTTATATTAGTTGAATTCCGAGCTAATAGATTAAATTTAATATTTCCAGTAAACAAAATACTTCGTTGCATTTCAAACCGAATTTAAATTGAATGGAATAATCTTTGAAAATCGCTAAAATCGGCCAAATTGTAAACATAATTTTCTTGATTAAAAAAATCTTTCAAAAATAAAATATTCTTTTCTGAAACTTTATTTGTGGAAGATAAACTGATTTAAAGTTCAATAAGTCTAAATTAACGCATTAAAATATCGCAAAAAGTATTTTTAACAAGGAGTATTTTATGGGGTGTTGAGAGATTTATCGATAACTTAATATTTCTCATTGGTTTTTACCATATACACGACGTTTCAGCCATTGTATGCGCCGGCCTTCTTCAGGTGATTAGAATTTTGAACTGAACCTTTTATTTTTAGTCCCACGTGCCATACCGCTTCCGTGTGTCTCAGTTATCCAAGATTTTGTTCACCTCTGCTGTAGCCAGGTACTGAACTCGCAACTCTTTCGTTCAAGTCACTGGACCCAACCAACGCTTTTATCAACTGGGCCATCAGTGTATGAATTTTGGGGGATTTATAAACCCTAAGAATGCTGGAGCATACAACAGCCGAAACGTCGAGAATATGACAAAAAAGATGAAGACAACAGTCTCTGAACAATGTAAGTAGTGTAAATAATTACGCTACCTCATCTCAGAAATATAGACAGATATTAATATTTGTCATTTTTAAGTAAAGTATCCATAACTATATAAATTAATTGTCAAATACAACGTGAATGCCCTTTTTATAGAATTTTTTAACTTCCCAGTAATCTTAATATTTTGGAAAATATTCTAAGTAATGTAATATTTTATTGAATTTTAGGTATTTTGACATTATAGTTTTACTTACGAAGACACTAGCTGAGGAAATGATAGAAAATTCCCAATAAATTTTAAATTTAATAGAGTTACCGCTCTTATTTTCTGATAATGCCGTAGATGGTCGTTCGTATTTACAAAAATAGGCACGTTTATACACACACACACACACAACAACAACAACAAAATTCTTTTTAAAATAATGGGGGTCGCTGAATAGTAGAAAGCTTTTCCATTTATGCTTAGTAAGTAGTTTTACTTAATGAAAATATCACCTAATCACTATAAATAAATACAGAATTTCAGATTTAAAACTTATTATAAATTATTAAAATTAATTTAAGAAGAAAATTAAAACAATTCTTGTAAAAATAAATTATTCACAACAGTGTCCATGATATATCTTTTCTAATTAAACAATGTGTTAATTTTATTATATTTTTATTTTAGATCAGAAAAAAATTGATGATTTAAATTCTCTAAGAACTTACCTTTGTAACTAAAAATTTTGTTTTTATTAAGTTTGGGCATTTTTTCATCATCTATACTCATTTTTAGCGAATATTTGGAGGCACACACACACACACACACACACACACACACACACACACACACACACATATATATATATATATATATATATATACACTTGGATATAAAATACAATATAAAAGGAGCCATACACAACACATTTTCCTCTCTGATGGCACCTATGTACGAAATTAACAGGACTACCAAACTATTTATCTGGACCGAAAAATGCCTCTCATCACCACCGATCATCTTATTTCCACGACTTTACATTCATTACTAAAGTCACCGACATCCCATGCGCAACCATCCTCAGGCAAGAAACTGAAAATGAGCGAAAAAAGATCATAGCAGTCGTTTCACATATTTTCAGCTAAACAGAACGGGTCTTCCACTGAGCGTGAAACATTAGCTATAAAATAAGCCATAGGTAAATTTGATTCCTTCCTCCACAGCCGCCTCTTCCTCTTGTTCACCAATTATATCTCGATCAGCGCGAATTTAACAATGCTAAAATACGACGATGACCGGAAGAAATCTCTTGCCAAAATTTCGCCCTGGAAAACGTTGAAGGTGAATCGAACGTCTGAGTGGACATACTCAGCCAAAGCCATGGTACTTCAGGTGAGAAACGACAGAATCATCAGCAATAAACAAACAACTCACCTCCGCGTTTGCAAACACCTTATCCAGCACTGATGACTCCACCTCTACTTCCGTCTGGGGAGCATATAAAGATACAGGACTGTAGATCCGGTGAAACCACTCAAACACTACCAAAAAACAACTGAAAAGCAAATTCCAAAAACACGAACACATGGACAACTCCCAACACACAGTACAAACACACCAAATCAACATAAACACATACACCCTTTCCGCTTATATCCACTGAATCAGATTGAGGTCTGGGAGAGCTGTTATACTCTACTTCAAACTAGATCTTTTTCTGATTCACTTGGCATCAAAATCTGGCGGCTAGGTGTGAACGCTAAGAAAGCAAAAATTAAAATAAAAAAGTCGCTCTCTGCGACTACATCTGCCTCACAAAACAAATGTTGTGTGGGTTCACTCATATCATAGCAGCAGTAATTAGCCTTGTGTTCATGGAGATAAAAGGCATGACAAAAAAAAGTTCGTGATCCATCTCATCTGCTTTTAAGAACGTCGCTCACAACACTGTTGGCAGTCAGAGGCGAGCGGGCAACTGATCCAACACATGCACCAACTCCAGGCTCTACTCACTTTCTCCATCCGTTAGGTCGCTTCCTACAACGTGACATTCTGTCTTGATCCTTTATATTAGCAATACAAAGAAATTTATCTCAACAATTCTTGTCTCTTTTCTTTCCATCTCCCCGGGGGTACCTCATTAAACAGCTTCTCAATGATTATAAGCGCCCTGTTGTAAATTTCATCGTTGAATGTAAGAGCCATTTTTGGACACAGCAGTTGCCTTTCTCTGAGTATGTCTTCGGACAAAAAGTCCTTGTATTTGTCCCAAAGTGATTTGGGATCACTGGGTTCGTACATTTGTAAGATTGTGGTGCAGAGGTGGCGCAAAGCAGAGGGCATTTTAAAAGAGCTGTTTCAGCCATTGTGGCATCCCACTGGCTGTCGTCTTCGAAAAGGCCGAGACGGAAGCAGGCCTCACGAAAAGTGTCACATAAAACTCCATTAACCGTCCGTAAGTTATTGTAGCTCGTTGGACCACTAACTTTGTGCAAAAAGAGTCGCAAGTAAAAACATTTCTGTCGCGATGGGGGAATCGTGAATAGCCTTCCGAGTGTGGCGTCTTTATTAACGCTTGGATAGCCCTCGACGTTGGCCCCGCACTTCCGCCGAGCCCAGGTGTTCTTTTTTTTTGTCCCCACGTAGTATAAAAGCACGTCTGGGTACAGTAGAGTCCTAGTAAACTCGTCCTGTCGACAAAGTTTGAAGAACGCTGTAAGCGTTGTGTCTTTAGTACGCGCAGCCACATCCATTGCTGTATCTGCAGAAACATAACGAAGCTGAATATGTGCCAAGGGCCCTTTGTGCTGCTAATGACGCACCCTGCAAGGAAGTCCTGGATTTCGTCTACAGAATCTTCCTGCGTACTACCAAAAATTGCAGCATCAGTCTCTTGATGGAGCGAACTGAATGGCAATATTCGACATTGATGTGCGCATTGAACGCTTTTGTTAGCAGAGGACAGTATGACACTACCCATCTGTTATCCACTTGGTGGCCCTTTACCACGGCTGTAAATCCTCCCTCAGCGGGACTCCTTCGCCGGTACAGTGGATAACCATCGCTCCCTGTAATGGTTTCGCCACGAAATCTCGTGGGTACTGCCGGGTGCATTTGCCGTCGCTGTTGTCACAGTTGGTGTAATTGTAATGCGACCCGCAGGGACCATGAATCAAGTTGGTTGTCACTATCTCGTACAATTCAGGGTCAGCTGATGGATCAGGAATTTCAGCAGAAATAAGATGGTCGATTTCTGTGGCCTCAATCTTGTCGCACAGCCAAATTAGGATATGTGCGTGAGGCAGGCTGCGTTTCGGCCACTCAACAGTATGCATGCGACAGCAAACAGCCCCAAAAACCTGTAACCACATCCATCAGCTTTCTCAACTTCAGATGGTAAACGCGCACAATGAGTTCTGGACGGTCGTAGACCGATTGCCCTGGCATAAGTTCTTTAGCAATTGCGTACCATTTTGGGTTACACGTGAAAGTTATGAATAGGTCTGGTCGGCCGTACTTACGAACGTATGCCATCGCGTCTTGTGTCCTCGCGTGCATGTATCGTGGACTGCATGTGAACGTTGAAGGTAGTAAGCACATCTTACCTATATTGCGTGGATCAGCGTCATTTCGTAAAGCATCACGAAAGTGAATATAAGAGTCGCAGCGCAACTTGGTCTGATTCAATCTGATGTAACAGTCTTTCAGATTCCATCTTAGCAGCCATGTCTACTATGAATTGATGGAAAAGTTGCCGTCTTCTATGAAGATGATTGAATGCACACTCATGTACCATCAATAGGTAGGCGTAGAAAGCCCTGCAAGACACTGTTTTTAAGATGGACCCATTTTGCAGAATGCCAAAGTGGTACCCATCTTCTCCGTAAGGGAAGAGAAGTGGGTATTGCAGTGCATCGTAGGGCCGGTGCGTTTCACTGATTCTTCGGAGCCCACTGCCGCGCGATTCGATAACAATGTCACATCTGTTGTGCTGATCACCGCCAACAATGACGGAAACTTCGTTACTTGCGGAAGCATTGTAACTACGTTCGTGCTCTCCCTGAGGCCGTTTGTCAGCATCAATTACAATAATGAAATCAGAAGAAGTGTTATTTTCGAGAGCACACTTAAAATATGCGGATATAGCTGTTTGTCTCGTGGAGCATTTTTGGAGACGCATTATGATATCTGTGCGAGGATGATTGTCTTGGCCTGTATCGTTCTCGGGAATAATGTCCATGCGGGCATCTGCCTGTTGATTGTAGTCAGCTATGAAATATATTTGTAGAAAGGCCGAATCAGTGGCAGTTTCCGGTAAAAAAAAGACCCAATCTGGTGGTAAACCTGACCTTGAACCTTGAAGGTGGGATTCCATCCGACTTCGCGGAAGGCATTACCATCAAAAGAGGTCATCTGGAAGGCACAATTGTACTGTCTGATTTTTGCGAGGAAATGCTTGGAGTCTGGACTGGAATCCTCCAACAGAGCTTTCAACGGAGCAGGTAGCTCTTGAAAAGGTTGCAACCGTACCTTACCGTCTGAACAACATAAACCTGCAGACTCTCCAGGCCATTTGTTGGCATTGCAATGCCCACAGACAACTGATATGGATCCTATTTAGAGGTCTTTGCGGCCGGAAAGCCTCAAAACTGGCTCATAGTTGAACGCCAGCTTAAACCAAAACTTCTTTAGTGGGCTACAGAGCCCTCGCTTTGCATGGCGGCGCTGGTTAACAGTCTGTAACCTTTCAAGCCTTTCAGTACGTCCTTCTACAGCTCTAGCAGCGGAAGTTGAAATTGAATCGCGTTGCCGCCTTGTGCGCTTTTGCGCGGAACTTTCCGACGCCCTTACAGCAGAAGTCGCAGCGACGTCGGCTGCATGGCGTGCGGTTTTCTCAGCCATGGATTCCTGGGACCGTCGAATGGACGTTGCCGCAGCTTTCGCTGTTACGTGCGGTTTTCTCAGCCGTGTTCTCCTGGGACCGTCGAATGGAAGTTGCAGTGGCGTCGGCTGCATTGCGAGTAGCTTTTCGATGCGGGCTCTGTTGAGACCGCAAAAGCGCTTGTGATGAAGCCGCATTTTTGTTGTCTTGCAAGCGTTTAGGTAGTTTCCTCTTACTTTTCAACGAATATGTGTAAACTGATTTGCAGTAGAAACGGTAGTTACGCTCACCAAGCGTTTCATGTGACAAAACATACTGCCTCCGTTGAGATTGACTGAAAAGCCTCAAAGAGGCCTCTACCTCGGTTTCCTCCTCCCGCTTTCTCTTTGCCGCAGAGGCTCTTTTAGAACGCTTGTTAAGGTTGTCTCGCCATGGTATTTTGGCACGCTTAACAAAGCTTCCGGGTCGGTCATCGCCACGTCACTCAGAAGAGTGCAAAGCAGAGGTTGAAGAAGACGCCAGCCGCTTCTCCCCCGAAGAGGCGCACTCAATGGAATCCTGCTCCCGTTTCCCCGTAGCCGGTGAGGCATTTTTAGAACGCCTGCTAAGGTTGCCTCGTCTGGGTGTTTTTGCTTCCTTTGCAGAGCTGCCGGGTTGGTCATCGCCACGGCACGCAGAAGAGTTCAAAGCAGAGTTTGAAGTAGACGCTATATGATCATCTGTAACCTGAGTTATTATGTGCTCCTCCGCAGTCGCCTGTTCTGCATGTGTAACGTTGACGGTATTAGGAGTCTTCAGTTGCTGACGTGCGGATGTTCGTCGTGTAGGAGCCATTTGAAGGGTTTTAGAAATGCTGTGTAAGAATGTGAATAGAAGTTGATGCCGAAGCTGAAGCGGTGCAACCTCGCTAACCGTTTGCCGGCATTAGCTTTGAAATGAATTGGGAGGAAGCCCTGCTGTTTTAGCGCAAAAACTCCTCGTCAGGTCTGGGATGCGACCTGGGCTAGGGGAAAAGGTTTAAAGAATTGGAAAATGGACTGCTGAGGGCGGAACCATTTTCACTCAGCACGTATGCGTGTTTTTTTCAGTAAAGTCGCGAAAAAATGAAGTGTATATTTTGGTAAGATGCGACGATTAAAGCAAGTGTTGACAAAGTCGAATATGTCATTTGTGGCTCAAAGTCAGACCTGGTAGCAGGTATAAAAAAGCCGAATTTCAATGGCCCTGCACCCATTCCAGAATTTGAGGACAAATGTTTTCTTCCACTCCACTGCACGCACTGACCTGTTACTTCCCGCGCATAGCATGACCTTAAATTAATCTGCATTTAGGAAATACCCAAACGGAAAAATATTTTTAAGGGTTGACCGATTGTCGATTTGCACTCTGTTTGGGGGGGTGCTCAGTTGAAACTTCACATGGTGACTCCCAATGATCTCTTCATAAATCCGCTCGGTTTTCGCTAAAAACCGACATGCGGTTCAGACGCAATCTGGGCGTATCGGTTGTTGGGTTTTATCGATTTTTCTCGCTGTTTAGGGGTCCGTGGTCATGAAACTTCTGGACAACACTTCTAATGGTAGACTCTAAGAGGGTGTCAAATTTGGTTGAAATGCGATCATTCCTTCTGTAAGCAGATTTTTTCGATTATCGATTTTTTTCGGAACCTGAGTCCGAACTCAAAAATCGGTCTCCGTCATGTCCTTACGGCAGCCATTTTCAAACTTGTGGTGAAAACCGGATCGAAATCGGGTGAGATATGCGGCCTGGGCGAAGTAACAACGCCCACGACAGACACACAGACAGACAACATGAGAAACATAGATAGTAGATTATTATTATTATTATTATTATTATTATTATTATTATTATTATTATTATTTCCTTTGACTTCTGTTATATATTCATTTCCTTCCGAGTTCCAACCAGAGACCTAAGGCCAGAAATGGTATCATGGCATCATGGCATTTTCAACTTAACGTTTTTGTAAAAAATAAAAATATAAATTAAACAACTTAAGATCACAGACAGAGATAAAGCCTTTCTTAAGGTGTGAGCTGTACTTTTCAGAACACCTTCCATGTTCTTGATCATCCAGATTGTTGGAAGTTCACCTATAAACTGTTGTATAATTCGCATAGATATTCACTAAAGATCGGAGTATATTCTTAGACAGATCATTAATATAGTGCAGAAAAAGTTTAGGACCGAGAAGAGAACCCTGAGAAAAGCCGGAATTGATTTCATGGGGTTATTGTGACTGGCTGTTAACAACAACCTTCATGGACTTACTTGTTAGGAAGGGCTTGATAATTGAGAAAGCCCTCCTAGCTGGAGAATTTATGCAGCAACATGTTTTGGAGTAAACTCTGGGCTGATATTCTTAACCATTTTAATCTTATCGGGCCGGTGACCTTAGAGTTCGGGCTTTTGATAAGTCTGGAAAATTGCTGTGTCAATAGAGATATTACAATGTTTATGTTTCGTGAGAAGGGAAAGTTATGTAAGAGGTGGTTCTTAAAAATAGAATTAGAGGTAAAGTTCACTGCAAAGAGCATTACCTTGTCATATGATAACTTCTGGGTGATTTATAATAGTCAGCACTGACATTTTTTCTCTAATGAGAATTTTATTTGAGATTTTCCAGAACTCACAGGAACCAAATCTTTTGTTTACAACCTTGGCTTGAAGTGTGTATAGCTGTTCTTTGCGTTAAAATTCTAATATAATGTTACAGAATTATTATTATTATTATTATTATTATTATTAAAGTAGCTACAGTAACAGCACCACCAAAACTCTGTCTGATGAGGAATTATCAACAGCCTGACCTGAATCGTTTGTATTTAATATTCATGTACACTCGGAAGGAGAATTAAAAATAGCATGAGTATTTGCTAGCTTAGCTTCATTGCTTTTATCATATTTAATTGAACATTTATAATTTACATTAGTCTGAATATAAATAATGTCTGCATGTTTGTTGTTGTTATCACAACGTTTCAACCATTGCTTGCTCTTCTGCCTTTTTCATGTCGATCCGGGTAACCTCCAGGGAATTTTAAACTGAACAAGAACAATCTATTCCTGTAGATGAAATAAATTCCATCTACAGGAATAGATTGTTCTTGTTCCACATGGCTAGAGATGTTTTGTTCTTTATTTAGTACATCTCAGTTATCTGTCTCCACTGAGTTTATATCATTACTATTACTGGACCCAAGGATTGAACTGACAATTCCCGAACGAACTCTTTACTCCACTAGGTTATAGTCCAATAAACTTATTTAGTTATTAGATTATTTGGGAAGTTCATGTGAAAATCTGCCCAGGAAATCACTTTTCCGTTGATGATTAAGCTTAGAAATGTGAGATTACCTCACCTTATCTGGGGACTTCTGTTAAGTGGCATTATATAATGCAGCATAAAAAGGACTCTATAAGAATTTTATTTGTGATTTTCCAGAACTCACAGAAACAAAGTTTTTGGTTCTCAACCTTCGATCTATCTCTCTCTCGCTCTCTCTCTCTCTCTCTCTCTCTCTCTCTCTTAAAAAGGATGCTGTAGTAATAGCACATGTCATGTTTCTTCCCCAGGAAGCTTCTCAGCCACAGAATTTTGAACATAGGCTGTAATTTGGAGAGGTCTACCAGGTCATGGTATATATGACATATAGTAGTAGTAGGTCTCCATTTAATTCACGGGATAATGGTAGCACCCTGTTTGGTCAAAATTCAGTCCTTTTGCTAGCAGCGGCTGGAGTAGCTTAACAGTTCAATATCTGAATGAGTCTCATCTGCATGTGTCACAGATGAAGCTGGAATCGAGAACGAAGGTCTAAGATTGCTCTCTCTGCTTCCTACGTTGTCTTCTGATCTCCAACTTTGGTTTCATTTTTTTCCGCTCTTCATAACTCCACCTTGAAGCGCATGGCGCCAGTTGCTGCGATGATCTGCTAGATGATAATTTTTTTTATCTGGATAGGCGATCTTGCTAGTGTTAAATTTCAACTATCATTTCTTCTTTGAATGATCGAGCTTCTTCGATTTAAACTTTACCTTTGACGGGATCAGTGTGTGGTCAGTGTTGCAGTCGTCGCTGCGGCAAGCTTTAAAGTTGCAATTGTTGTTTAGAGAATTGTGTCTGGCGATGACCAGGTCCTGTTGGTAATAATGTTTTGACTTTGGATGTCTACAGGATGCATGGTGACAATTCTTGTTCTGGAAATAGATGTTTGTCACACAATTTGTGATAGTAGCAGAATTCTAAGCGTCTATTCTCGTTCACTTTCCCTATATCATGGTTTCCTAACACGTTTGGTCAGGACAATGCCCACGATCGTATTGAAGTTTCCTAGAAGGTAAATATGTTCATATGCTGTGATACGCTTGACGTGCTGGAAAGTTGGTGCATAGATGCATACATGGTTTACATGATCTTCATGAGAGCGAATCGAATTCCGCGTTCCCTGCATTCTAGAATCCTGACCAGAATATGGTGTGGTGATCCTCCTTTAGAAATCCACTGTCCAAAAATCACGTTTTCTGAAGACCTGCTAGGCCAATGTCCAGTCTGTTTAGCTCATGATCGGTCACTGCAGTCTTGCGAGCGTTATCAATTTTCTGAAGTCATCAGATAGATCTGTGAGCATGGTTCGCACATTCTACCTTGTTATACGAAGAAATAGATTATTCATTCTTTTTCCCTTTTGCCGTTTGTATGGTGCATGGTTATCGATCTATTTGTTAAGCTATAAACTTCAGACACCCACTGAAGCAGGCAGACCGTGGCGGGCCAACCCCCTACTCTCCGTAGGCTACCCGGCTTGAAGCGGGCGGTAGTTGACCAATGGATTCCTCTCACATGACACCTAACTCTATGCCAGATGGACTTATAATCCGTAAAATGTTGTCTCCCATGTTGTGCTCTCACCATGAGATGAGACTGAAATGACCTCTCCAGGGCGCGGGCCTGAGCAATGGTATATGGAGGCTGTACGCTGTCCAGACCACATGCTCCCTCATTTCGTCCGTAACGACAAGATCCAAAGGAATACAAAATATTATATTGGCTGTAGGAGTTGCCCAGTGGTTGTCTGTGTTGACAGCCAACAGCCATCGGTGTTCCACTTCGGATGTTCTAAGACAGATAAAAACTGTTTAAATGAAAAATCTTCATGTGTTACTATACTTTAAACAGAGCATATTGATAAGCTGCTGAGTACTTATGGGAAGTAAGAAAAGAAAGAAACAGGCGTTTCCTTTTCCTTTGGGGGGGGGTTAATGTTTTAGAAAGAGTAAGAGAAAGAAGTCTTTCAATTATCAGGCATAAATCCTCAACCAGAAGAATTACTTTTCCATGATTGGTTCTTTAATCATTTGTAAAGAAAAGCTTTTTAAAAAAGTAGCATTTGTAAAGAAAAAATTAAAAATCTATATAAATTAAGATTTGGTAAAATGAACAAATTTTGCAGATTCAAGTTAGAGGAGGGGCACATTCAATTATTCAATTTATTTTTTCCGTTACTCAGTCTCCCAATCAAATAGTGAATTTCCCTACACGTTTCCCTAATAATTCCGATCAACAGGTTTCTTTATTTGATATGCTCCCTGCCTCCTCTTCTAGCTATTGTCGAGCATCGCAACTCTGTCCTGTTGGCAATTCAGATCAAACTGTAGTATCTGTTGATATTTCTTTTGCGTTGTCTATTAGACATGAACCTCCTTTCTGTTAACAGCGTACTAATTGGGATTCGTTTCGTGACGTTCTTCGAGACGCCTCTAGGATTGATAATCTTAACTTTTCTTTTGAGAATTATGCCACAGAGGTTTCTGGGGTTAAAGCCGACATCACTGCTTTTATATATTCTTGGAAATACCGGATGAAACCACAATCTTTTCCTTGGTTAAACATGCCTGTTCATTCACTGTAGCTCACAGGAGTCACTTTTTCAAGCAGTACTAGCGTGATAGTTCGGATCGCAACAGGCACCTCTTTGTGTTTGCTCGTAAAAATTGTAAACGTGTCCTCACAGACGCCAAGCCTTTGTATAATGACAGAATGAGGCACCTTATAGCCTCTAACAAATTTGCTTCTCGTGACTACTGACAGCTCTGTAATAGTGTGTTAAATAAGAGTAAGTCTCTATCCCTTCTCGTTTCAATTAATTTGAGGTGATAAAGCAGAATGTTTTTTCTCGTACATTCTCTTCAAATTTTACTCTTGAATTATCTGGAGTATTTTTGCCTGACTTTCCACCCAGGACTGAGGCTCTATTGCATATAACTCTATCCATGGTCATCATCTTTAAATTGGATCCTCACTAAACATGTAGACCTAATGGTATCTCTGCAATACTCCTAAAGAAATGTGCTCTTGAACTGGCTCTTGTTTTCTCTAAACTCTACAATAAATGCTTCTTCTTGCTTTCCTGTTTGTTGGAAATCTTCTTCTGTAGTTCTAGTCTAAGAACTCTGCGAACTGCCTGATCCTTCTATCAACCTATTAACGGTATACCTCTTGAATCGGTTAATCATCTCACCTCGCAGAGTCTTATTTCAGATAAGCAATATGGCTTTCACTTCTGCAGGTCAACTGCTGATGTATTATTGTTCTTTCAAGCTTTAGACAAGAATGATGAAACTCAGGTTGCTACTTTTGATATCTGGGAGGCATTTGATAGGATTTGGCATGCTGATCTTTTTTTGCAAGTTGAAAATGTATGGTATTTCTGGACAAACTGATTCAATCTTTCTTACTAAATAGCAAAATTAAAGTTGTCTCGTATGCCCACTCTTCTAGATCTTTTTGCATTAATGCAAGTGTTCCTCAGGACTCTATCCTTGAACTTACATTGTTCCTAATTTTCATCAACATTAGTTCTCAATTCTGTATCTATGCTGATGTCACAACTATTTACTCCTGTTTTAATTTTAAATCTGATAGGTTTGATAAGGTTAAATTGGTTGATGATCTCAAAATGACCTACAATCCTTTGTTAATTGGGGAAAGGAATTGTTTGTAAATTTTAACTTCTCTAAAACAAAACTGCTCCATTTCAATCATCTGAGAGGACCCTTTCTACCCTCCATCAGCAGGAGAGTTACTCATTGTGCATTCTTAAGCTAGTGTTTTCCACTTACATGATGTGAAAGATTATATTGAAGCTATTGCTAGGTGTGCTGTTAGAAAAGTTGGTTTACTGTGATATGCTATACATTTTTTTTCACCATAATCTATCTTACACATTTATAAATCTACCATTTGTCCATGCAAAGAATATTGCTGTGACATCTGGTCTGGTGCTTCTGTTATATATTTAGAGATTCTAGATAAAATACAAAGAAGAATCTGCAATATTTTCGATCCTGACCTAGCACCTCGGCTTCAGTCATTTTTCCACTGCCATGAAGTAACTTTCCTGTGCCTTTTCTATAAATATTTTCATGATAATTATTCTGATGAATTTTTCTCTCTTTCTACACTTTATGAATTTGAGCACAATACTAGATTGATGACAAAGTCTCATCATTTTACAGTTGAAATGGCTGGGATGTAACCTTAATTTCTATGCTAATAGTTTCTTCTCTCACATTTCTTGCTTATGGACTTCTCGCTGGGCTTCTTGCTTTCCAGTCAACTTTGACCTTCCAAACTTGTTATCATCTGTCTTCTTAATTTCTGTTCTTTTATTTTTTTTTCTCTATAATAATGTTTTTTATTCTCACACACTCAGCACCTTTTGCATCTTAGTGGCTTTATTGCTTTGCTTCTGGTGAAATGATAAAAAAAAGTAATTAAAAAAACATTACTAAAACTTACTAATTAATTAGTTTCAAACAAAATAAAAAAACAACTTTTTACTGAAAATTACTAATGAAATATGATATATCTACTGAGTGGATACTGACTTATAATAAAATTTAATTAACCCATAATTTATAGAGAAAGATAAAATGTACACAGTATCTAAAATATATCAAATAATTAATCTTCAAATTTTCAGCTTTTAATTGTAGTGATAGCAACAAATAAACCATTAAATAACCTCTAACCTTTGGTACTAGACTATGTAGGAATATGACACCAAAAGAATGAATAATTAATAAGAAAAGAACAACTAAAAGTTATGTAATAAAATTAATTTAAAATGTAGATAAGAATGGTAATTAACAATAAATAAAGAAAAAAGATTATAAGAAAATAGTTTAATAAATATACAAAACTCCCATTTTGCTGCCAATTGAATCAAAAATCAAGTTTTCTCTCTTTATCTTCGATGGCCAAATGAAGCAGATGTCTGGGGACAACTCTCTGATAGGTCATGTGGCTACCACCAGATATGCACAAACTTTTTATCTCTGTATACATATATGTCCTCAGTCCATGTGTTTAGTATAAACAGAAGTGTAAGTAAATGTTTGAGTTTGAAGTAGTGAAGTGAGTTGAAGTCAATTCATAAAAATCTTTCATTGTTTAATGTATTTCCAGGCATACAAATTCTTTCTCTTCAAAAGAAGAAACTTAACTCCAAATATTATTTGTAAGACACCTCATCAATTCTGGAATATAATTTTCTATATTTCCTCTGTTTGCTTCTTTCCCATTTTCCTTTGTGGGTATGTGGAATATTTTGAGAAGGTCAAAATCAATTCTCCTTCAATCTTCCACAAGTGCCTTACTTGACTGATCCTTAATAATAATTACATAATTTATTAGATATTTTATTTATTTACAGAGCTGTGAAAAGTGACAACTATCGAATAAAGAAGGAAGATGTTCAATTGTTGGCTCCAATCACCCAACCTGATAAATTAATTTGTATTGGAATGAATTATCAAGACCATTGTGCAGAAGGGAATGTCAATGTTCCAGTTGAACCAGTTATCTTCAGCAAGTTTTCAAGTTGTATTATTGGACCTCATGATGATATCCCTTACCCAGAAGAAACAGAGGTATAAAATCAAATACTGAGAATGTTTTTAATCTGACAAATTAAATATAAGATTTGTTCAGAATATAATCTTCTGGCAGTAAGACTTCTGATCTGGAGATTGGAGGTTTTCAAGAGCATAGAATCATCTCTTAATTGCTGTTGTTCTCATGTCTATTCTGACCAGCTCAGTACTACCTCTTAGGGTCCCAGTTATGGGTAAATAATGAACCCCTAAACTAAAATCAAAACACTAGGAAAGTATAAAAATATATTTTTTATAGCAAAAATACTAGCAATACATTTATATTTACACTATTTTCATTGTGTGGACTGTTGTCCTCATCTTTGTTGTAATATTCCCAACATTTCAGCCTTTGTATGCTTTGGCCTTCTTCAGGTGATTGGAATTTTGAACTGAACTCTTTATTTCATCCACTGAGGTAGATTGTTCTAGTTCCATGTGCCATGGCACTTCCAGATGTCTCAGTATCAGTTATCTCCCTTTAATTCAACTCTCTAAATTTTTATTCTCCTCAGCTGTAGCCAGGTATTGAACTCACAACTCTTTGTGTCAAGTCACTGGATGCAACCACTAGTTCCCATATTGTATTCATATCTTTGCTTGGTCAGCTTAGGAGATGTTTGTGGCCTAGCATATGCATTGATTCCTTAAGTTTTTGTATTCTCCTGTGATGCTCTCTGTCTATTATTTCAAGCTCATCCCACATGGGGTGGTGATCTCCCTTTTCCCTCCATATTTGTTAAGTCACACCTGATTTTTCTATTTCCCCTAGTGTTACAGCTTCATGGTATTCCTGCAGTCTTATCTTAATGGGGTGAAATGACAAGTTCAGTTTAAAATTCCAATCACCTGAATTTGCCATCATGACAATCTATTTCAATTTCATTTAAGTTGTGTGTGTATGTACATTTGCAAATGCATATTTATATTTTAATTCAATCACAAACCTAAAAATATTACTATGAAATTGAAAGGTAAATAAATTCTTTATAATAACTAAATATTTATTATTATTACCAAATAATTTTTGAAAAATCTTGCAAGTATCTGATTTTTTTAGGGTTTTAAAATATTAAAGTTTTTTATTCTTGTCTCCAACTTTAATTTTATTACTCAGACCAAGTTAGGTGTTGTCCAAACTGAGTGGGAGGGAAATATATTATTCCATGATCTTGTTTCAAACATAATCAAATTGTGTATGTATGTGTGTGTGCTTGTAAGTTAAATGGCATAAACACATGTAAGTTATTTGCACAACACAGACAAACACATACATGTATGCACAATTACATGAAGATAGTGTGTGTGATGGAGAGATAATCAGCTGTGTTTGTATAATATAGATTACAGCAGCCAAACATTGAGGCAGTTTTCCATTCTATTTAGATAGAATTTTAGAGTTTTTGATAAAAAGAAAGCTGAGAAACCTGAAATGATATCTTCAATATTAATATTATTATAATATTTAATATTATTAATGTCATGATAATGAAAAATAAATTCTATGAATTGAAACCTTTGATAATTCAAATATATGGGATTTGATGAGTAAAGAGCATAAGCTAAGACTTTATTTGCTCCTGAATTTGTTTTACTAATTCTGGCTTTGTAGTATTATGTAGGAGAAGGATATACTTTCTGTGCACCAAAGTTGCGCATATCTGATGTTATTTGTTTATAAGAAAAAATCTATGGAAAATGATATTTCAAATTTTTGTTAAGAAACTTTCTTTTTGCTGATTTCTTCTACTACTGGCAACTTTAAATATACTTCCAGACTCAGGGTCTTCTCAAATCTTAAATACTCACTAGCTTTTGTCGAAATTTATTATTTTTATTTCTACAGTTGAATATTCTGGGTATTTAGTGAGATAAGGCACACTTCTAATTACTTATCTGATATGCTTACACCATTGCTAGACTTGATAAGAATTTAGAAAGATTAAGATAAGGTGCTGTGTACTAATTTGGGTCATCTTAATTGGTGGTCAACAAGAATAAATTTCATCTATAATCAGGCTTCATGAATGAAGATTTTAAAGTGGGTTGAAGAATCTTAAGAATCTTAGATATATAAATATTAATTAACATGCACATACTATATTTAAAATTTGCTCTATTTATGGGGAAAAGTGTTCAATATGAGATAAATTGTTGATATTGACAGTTTGGGCACTGCTTGATGACTGTCAGTTTTATGCTTTTATATATACAGGGTGATTGAAAAGTAATTCATTATTTTATGTATGAGTGACCAGCTAGGAGTCCTGACTTAACAACCTGTGACTTTTTGGGGGGGAGGGGGGAGTTGGTTAGAGGACAAAGTTTACTATACCAAACCAAGAGTTTGTAAGAACTTGGAGGGTGAATAGAAGAAATTATGTCTTCTATACTACAAGAGTCCCTGGTGAAATCAGTTGACATGATTCCTGGGAAAGCTCAAAAAGCTGGTAACAAAATCTGGTGCCCATATTCAATTTTAAATAAAACCTCATGCTAAAAGCTTTCCTCCATATACATTTCTTGTAAAAATTATAGTTAATAAATAAATTATAAGTATTTTAAAATGGGGAGTTACTTTACAATCACCTGGTGTGTGTGTGTGTGTGAGAGAGAGAGAGTGGGAGAGAGTGTGTGTGTGCAGGTTCAAGATTCTTGAACACATTTCTATTAAAATTTTGTATATAAGATATATCACATCATAAAACAGTCACAAGAAGTAAGATAAAGTCCACAAAAAGAATTTATGCAAAATACATCAATTAATATCATCTAAGTTGTATTAATTTAATTTTATTTCATTTTACATGAATTTTTCAGGAACTTGATTGGGAAGTGGAACTGGCATTTGTCATTGGAAAAGAAGGGAAAAAAATTGCTGTAAGTATTTGAGGAAGATTTTCAGTAGATTCCTTCCTATCATACATTACACTTGTTATAATTGTATTCAAATTGTTCTTGACTTTAAATCAAAAACATTTGATATGACTTTTCATTTACAATTTATATCTGCAGGTTTTTGTCTGTTCAAAATCTTGCCAAACTGCTACTCAGCTTTGCTATTGTCTTCTAGGGTAAGGTTATTGTTTTCTAGGGTAAGGTTATTGCATGCCAAATGAGTGTTTGAACTATAAGAAAAAAGGCAAAACAGGAAAATATTTCTATGTTATTGCTACTCTGATTACTGCTTCAAAAGAACTAAGAAGATATAAAAGGAGATATTTACAAAGAGTGACATTTACAAGGTAATTCGTAGCATTATAATATTTGATAAATATGATTACTGAAATGATAATAAACATTGGATGAAATAAAAAATTTTCCAGTGGATGTTTTTGCAACACTCAATGACATATAATTTCTTTTTTCTTTTCAAATAGAAACCACTCATAGTTAAAAACTAAAAGAAGTGTATATTATAGAATTAGCCCACCTTGTCCACCAGGAGACTTCTTTTATTGGCCACTAGGTGGGGTTGTAAAAAGCAGTATAAAAGGAAAGGGTAAAAATCTTTTCTTTTCTTTCACTCTTCAACTATAGGATACCATAGTTACAAGGTGTCTTATTTCCCCTCTAGAGAATTTTTTAGTCAGACCCCATACAACACAATATTATCACTACACTTTCTACTGTGTGAAAAAAAATCTGATATACCCATAACAATATCGCCACTACAACTTGTTACATAAATATATATCTTTCTTCAACACAAGAAAATATCCCCGTTCAACCAAAGAAGATAATGCCACTACAAATTGATGACTCCCTTAACAAACTGGTAATCTAATACCATTGTACTAGCATTTTTATTATTAAGTGATTTAGTGATTCACTTTTTTGACCTCTTATCCCCACTAAATATTCATTATGCCGTTTTAAAGATTTGCATTAATTTCTGAATTCCAGTTGATGATTTTCCGGCTTACAAAAGGATAACAAAATTTATACGTTATTTTTCTTATTTAATTTCAACATTTTTTCTTCACATGTTTTGCACATTAACAAAATATATAAGCTTTGAATATAAATGACTTAAACAGTAAATTCACCAAAATATGAGCTTAGATAAAGAAAACTAAGTTCATCTCTGATTTTATTAAAACTTCAAAATTTATTTTTATCAGTGTTTAACTTAAATCCATTTATTTTTTGTAGCATCAAAAAAAGAATTATTATGAATTTAAGATGAAACAGATTTCCATTGTTTTCATTGATGATTTTACTTACTTGGTTGATGATTATTTTAATTCAGGAATAAAAATAAATATATTAATTTTGGAATTCTTTTGAGATACAAGAAATTATCTTGATGAATTTACTTACTTGGTTTTATGTTTATCATTATTTTAATTCATGAATAAAAAATATATTGATCATTGAATTCTTTCAACTTATCTTGATGCATTCAATTTTTGATCTCCTATGTATATTCTTTATTTTCTTCTTCATTTTATCAGGCTAAAGATGCTATGTCTCATGTATTTGGTTATACTGTGGCACATGATGTCAGTGCTAGGGACTGGCAGATGAAAAAGAATGGAAGACAATGGCTTCTAGGTAAATCTATGGATGGGTTCTGCCCCCTTGGACCCTGTATAGTTATGAAGGAAAATATTATGAGTAAGTGTTTTACTTAAGCTTTTGTATTTGTAAAAAGGTGTCATGAATGTTTGTGTATTCTCTTCATTTTAGGTTTTTTTAAAATAAATGTTTGACTTAACATATATATAAAATCATTTGTTATTACTGAATTGATAGGAAAATCATCTTCATGTTTGCTAAAAGATGTAATATACAATTTTTTACTACAGAAGTCGTTCTTAGTATTTTTTTAATGAAATGTCACAAATATCAGTAAATTCAGTTAAGATAGCAGCATTTTCATAAGAAATGTTCATTATTTTTATTGTTCAGATACAAATTTATTTACTGAGAATCTTGTTTTCTAGGCAGCTCTATACTTACGTGTTAAAATAATTTTATTTAATTTTTTTTAATAAATGTACAACCAATACAATGCCCAAGAACTACTTTAGGTAGAGGGTTACTAAGTGAGATTGAATGGATGCAGGTGGGGGAGTAAATGCACATTATAAAGTTACATTTGATATGTAATGGTTCACCCTAAGACTTGAAAAGGTCAAGATTGTATAGTTCAGGGAAGCATCCTCTAAGGTGTCTGTTCCATAAAGTAGCAGCTTTTGGGAAGAAATTGTCAAACAGAATATCAAGTGATTTAGGGTTGTTTGTCCTGGTGTATATGGCATCAAAACATTTCCTATAGAAATAGCAGTGAGAGTAGTGAGGAGGGGCTTGTGACATCTTATTTGTATGAGAGATGTTATAGGTTGGAAAATAATTAATCATCTGCAAGACTATGTAAACTTTTTTGAACTTTCTCACGGCTGGAAAGAGAGGCAGCAGCAATACTTCATTTTTGGTTTGATCTGAATTTTGTAAATATACTGCCTGTTATGTTCTATGCTAACAGTTTCCTTTCTTGCACTTCTCACTTGTGGAATTCTCTTCTGGCTTCTTGCTTTCCAATCAACTTTAATCTTCAAAATTTTAAATGCAATGTTAATTGCTAACTTCTGTCTTCTTAATTTCCATTTTTTTTTATTGTTGTCCCTCCTTAATAATGTTTTTCTTTTCCTTATATTATTTCACATTCACTAACCCCTTTTGTCTTAGTGGCTTTATTGCTTGCTTAGGTTGAAATGATAAAAAATGTAGAGTCACATACTTTCTGGAGTGGTATAAGGACTGGCTACTTTTTATAGTGTCTTTAACAATGAATTGTATAGATGTGTCCCACTTGAGGACTGGCATGTACTTGGGTCTAAATAGATGCTCAAAAGAAGAACCTTCATGAATGGTGAAAATTTAGCATCAGCTTGGTAATGATAAAAAAATTACTTGCTTGATTTTGAAGTCATGAAAGTCACAATCTAGTTTTCTCCCATTAGGCTGTTAGAGCTTGTTCAGATGGGGCATTGGCTGCTCGGCTCTGATCATCTAAATTTTTAGAGATGCACACATACAATATTTATTTACTAACAATCTGAGAATGTTCTTAGGCAAAACATTAATATGAATCATGAAGAGGGTAAAATTGAGTAGTGGGTGTTGTGTGACACTTCCATTGATCTCATAAGGCTTCAAAAGTTTTGCTATTGACAATGAGCTTCAAGGAACTACCTGATAAGAAGAACTTAATGATTGTAAGGACTCTGTGGTAAAAATAAGAATTATTCTGTACTAATTCTATGAACATTATATATTATTAACATTAAGAGTTGTTTCTCCTTACTCTTCACAAATAAAATAAATACATCCCATACTCAATTTCTTCTTCTTCTTCTTTAACACTCATTGTATGATCTATGAGGAATAAAACTTAACATGTCAAATATATTTCTATTTTGTTATTTGCAACAGACTATTCCAGAGATTCTCTATCTGGAGAATTTGTGTAGTAATGCTCTATGCCACACCATGTCAAAATTTTTTATATCATATTTGAAACCTTTTCACTAAAAAGCATGAGCAATGATATCCATTTGACATTCTATTTCTAATGCAGTATTAATTTATTAATGCAGAAACTAATTACTGTAAATTATTACATATTGAAAAATATACTGAAGATTATGTTATTTGCATAAAATTGCTTTCACTTAAAATGCCATTTGAAAAACTGCTTTGTTGATAAATTTTATATATGATATATAAAATTTATCAACAAAGCAATTTTTCAAATGCTTAAAATAAAAATGGAATAGATATATATATCTATTCCACTTTCATTTTAAACATTTGAAAAACTGCTTTGTTGATAAATTTCTCACATGATTTGCTCTAAAGTGTTATTCTTATTGAAACATGATTTGATTTCCAATACTGAAGCTAAAGGTTTATTTTGTGGTCACCTGTAATGTACTGTTCATGTATATAATAGAATTGTTCAACTCATTGTTATTCTACAGATATAAATATTTTTTCAAAAAGTCTTTGTATTATAGAAAAATATTTAAAAATAAAAATAAGGCTACAAAACATTTGTATTAAAAGGCAGGAATCATTGGCATAACAACAAAGAAGGTAAGAAATGATAAACAACATACATTTGTAGGGTTTTAACATAATTATTTATATTTATTGTGATCATGTGACAAGTAAAGGAAGTAGATATATGGGAAACTATATCAGAGCGAAAAAGTGAGCCGATGCAGTTAAAAGTATTAAAAATATTTTTTTATGTTAATGTTAAGTTGTTTTAATAAAGATAGTTATGGAGACAATGCCAAATACATTTTATGTATTGAATTTTATATTAAAATTAGAATCCTTTTTTTTTTTTTTATAGATCCTGAAAATCTTGGAATAAGATGTTCGGTAAATGGAATCATTAAACAAGAAAGTAACACATGTAATCTTGTTCATGGAATTGAGAAATTAGTTGTTTATCTTTCAAGGTAAGTTAAACATTGAGTGTTCATTGTATTTTCCATTTAAAATGATTTAATTCAGTTTCATTTTCTGTTTACAGATGTAATTATTAAAACACAGGAACTACGTTTTCTGTAAATTTTCTATCTACTTGTAATGAGAAACAAACATGTTAGGAGCCTTAGTTGAAGCTTTATTCAACTGTATAATGTTCAGTCGTGAGTGATGTACCTCAATGAGATCGCTAAAAAATACCATAGCATGATGAAAAAGAGCCAAACTTGACGAAAACAAAACTTTTTCGTCTAAATGTTTATATTATTATTAAGAGGAAAGATCAAAGTATTTTGGGATATTCTTTTATATTTTTAATCTTCCTAGCATGTCCAAATTTTCGTTAAAAATCTTTTTTTGAGTCAGCAAAATTGACAGATAATCAATCATGTCATCTATTTTTTTCCATTTTATAAAAAAATGAAAATCTCAGTTTGAAATTCTTTTAAAAATCAATTATAATTTTTTCAAAACTTATTTTAAGAAAATCAGAAATTATAATGTTTATTTAAAATATTTTGAAACAAGCATTACTTAGTTTCTGCGCGGAAAAGATGTAGTTTGAAAATAAAACAAAGCAAGTCATAAGATTTCGCGTCGCTTGACATTTATCACAAATGACAATCTCAAAACGTATTCACAAGTTACGTGAGGATAATTTATTCTGCAGAAGTGAAATTATTTAGATTTAAGTGAACAAATTATTTACCTCGTTATTTTTAAGGAAAACTTTCAGCGCCCTAATTTTTTTTGTACTTAGCTTTCACATTTACGATGCTTTATGGAAAATATATTATAAAGAAATTAAAATAAAACTGTTCAGAGTGAAATGAAATTTCATAAGAAAGGTATCTAATTAATTTATAGGTACCTTTCTTATGAAATTTTATCAGAAGTGTACATAAAATACTATAATTTTATGTACATTTACTACATTTTACTGTGTTATCTGTATTTCCATTCATTTTATTATTAATTTTGGTATTTCATTAATGGAAAAATGTTATAACTGAGATTAATATAAAAATAAGATCATATAAATTTCATAAGATGATACTGATACTTGTAGGTACCCTTTTCTGTTGAAATTGAAAAATCAAATTAACTTCTCCACTCGTGTTTCGTAAAAATAAAGGCCTTAACAGCAGAGAACAAGGCTTAACACAAATAACGCCACTTAATTGTATTCTTGTTGGCTTTCAGTACTTTATAATTACAGCCGTATTATAAACACAAAATTACATTTCTTAATTACTGCGGGTCTTCTGATTAGTCAAAACGATACAATTTACAACGCGCTAAAAAGATCTCAAAAGGACATTTACGAAACTGAATGCGGCTTTTAACTAATTTTGGAATATTTTAATAACTTAAATGTAAAAATCTATTATAATTAAAGGAATAACAAATAATTGTATTAAAAATTCATTTTTCATCGAAAAAATTTTTTGCTTTCAGAAAATATTGTTCATATTCATAAAAACAACTAAAAGCAAATAAAATCATCTGAAATTAAATAATTACTTTGTTTGATTGAGTTTTGTATGTTACAATTCAGAGCTGATTTTCAGGTAGTGGGTGGGGTGGGTCCAATTAAAAAAAAAATACATGATTTACTTTCCTCAAAGCCTTGTGCTTTTAACTAATATAATCACTAAACTGAATACAACTGAATTTCTAGAGTTTTCATAAAATTAGTTATGGGGGATGGAGGTGATTAATAAATATATATATTTTTCCATGATTTTAAAAAAGAAAACATTTATAATAATTTCCATCATTTGTGAATAGTTTCTGAAACTACCTACATCCAACAATTATTTTTATTTTTGCAAGAAAAAAAAAAAAAAACCGCTAAAAAGTTATGTTATTTTACCAGTTCTCATGAAGGTACCTATATTTATCCAAACGACTGGATTCTTGGCGAATTTGTCCGGAACGTCACTGCTGTATCTGATCAGGGCTTCGAGCGCTGCAGGGTGTGTGTTGCTCGGAATAGCCTAGTTTCTTTTTAGCAAAATAGTATTTGACTCTGAGAGCCACTTTGTAAGAGAAGTCCAGGCAGATCTTCGTCTTGGGAATTTAAAAATCTCTCATGAGGTGTCACATTCATTCTGGTGCACAATAGAGTTTTGATCGCGTACAGAGCCTCAGGCAGCGGCTCTTCCCAGTGTGTAATTTGGCACTTGTGATTGGCAGCCGCTCGTTGTACGGTCCTCCATTTAATCGCATTGTAGCATTAGCATAAACTGGAGATTATACGACGTGGTTTGACTCACAGCCACGTTCTTTTCAATTAGGATTTTTTAGTTGTCCCGACATGAAAGAGGTTTCCATATCAATGAGCTGGTACACCGAAAAATTGAAAATAAAGAGCATAGACATTGTATCCCGTTTCCGTTGAAAAAGCTGGACAGGGAAAAGCGAATGGGAACTTAAAGTATTCATAGATTACCGTTAGAATTTATTTATTTCTAGTCTTGCTTGGTAGCGATCCCTAGAAATATAAGTCAAGCCTTTCAGAGGGTCGCGTGGCTTTTACAAGAGTTCCTGATTTGGGTGGGTAGAACTGCGGTTTGGTTACAGTTGTTCCTAATCCGCCTGACTTTCTCGATGGAGAAAGATAGGTTTTGACTACGTATCACATATAGCATTCTGGCGATACCCGGGTGACACAGTTCTTTATGCAGTTTCAGGAGATCTTCAATGCCTTTTACTGATCCACACATTTCTTGAAAGAGTGTCAGTCACTGCATTTTCTTTGCCAGGACGACAAACGACGTCAAATAAAAAGCAGGACATCTCAATTCTCCATCTGGCTTGTCGCCCTAGAGTTGTACATAAATGAAACAGACTTTTGGTCGGTGACTAGTCTGAAAAGTCAGCCGATCAAGTAATGTTGTCATTTCTTTAAGGCCTCCACAGTTGCATAAGTCTCTTTATCGATGAATGTCATCGTTCCGACCACGACAGTGTTCTAGAGAAGAACGCTCCCAGGCGGCCAGATTGTCTCACTGAGGCTGCAATATACTGTAGTCAGAGGTGTCTGTTTCTGCCACAAGGGGAATAGAAGGATCTACGGCCGTGATAGCAAAACTGGTGATATCCCTTTTTAGACCCTTAAAGGCAGGAAGAGGAACAGGAAAACTGGTAATTTCTGTTAACGAGTGTATTTTTTCAGAAAATGCGGCTACCTATGGGGAATAATGTGCGTACATACCCATGGATCGCTGTTAGGCAGATATAGGGACCTGTAATTCTAATAGTGACTTCAGCCGTTCAGGATCTGGCGCTATTGTTCCTTGGTTTATGACGAGCACTTTTCATTGTTTAAAGTATGGTTGTATTTTTCAACCGTGGCTAACTTTCAAGCCGATTGCTAGTGAAAAAAAAAAAAAGAAAAAAAAAGAGCAACTTCTAACTACCATCCCATGCACACGGACATGAAAAACTGCCAACAAATATTATTGGCGTCTCTGCAAGAGCGTACTGAACAATTGCAAACCCTCTATACCTCCTTTGTTCAACCAGTTCGAAGTCCTGACCTCCTCTGCCGACAAGGCTGAATGCTTTGCTTGGAAATTTTCATTCAACTCTTCCGGCGTACCCATACCCAACTTGAGTGAGTTACACATAACCCCGTCTTTGGTATTGGGCATTATCTCCAATTTAGACCCCAACAAGGCTAGTGGTGGGGATGGGATACCAGCCATTGTCTTGAAGAAATGCGCGCCTGAACTGGCGCCCGCCCTCTCTAAACTATATAACTACTGTCTCAAGGAATCTTGTTTTCCTGGCTGCTGGAAGTCCTCTTCGATTGTTCCTGTCTTCAAGAACTCTGGTGACCCCTCTGACCCTTCTAATTACCGTCCTATCAGTCTCCTACCCCTCTTCGCCAAAGTCTTCAAAGCCCTAATCAATACCGAAGTGGTTAACCACCTTACATCCCATAATCTGCTCTCAGACAAGCAATATGGCTTCCGCTTTGCCCGATCTACAGCTGATGTGCTTACACGGTCAAACAACACGCATCTCATCTATGCTGCTTTTGCTTGACCCTTTCTCTCCTCCAGACCATTACGTATGACTTTACCTCAATCGGCAGACATCAATAATTTTTTTCCACCAAGACGAAAAATACGATGTTCATCTTACAAGTTTGGAGTAAGCAAAACACGGCTCATTTTCTTCAAGAGCACACGAGAAAATACCATTCAAACACTACGTAAGATAACTCCATTTTCAACTTTAAACAGCACTATTTCTCCTAGGCTCATCAGATAAAGTGTGAAATAATTCCAAAGCCGACTCACTGACCTTTCTCACTTCAAAGATGTTAACACGAACAAAAGTAAGAAATCTGCAAGTACGATTTAATAATAGAAGGAGATAGATATGTCTCCATAAAAATCGACATAATATCATTTATCTTAAAGTTCTCGCAAACATGTATTCGACACTCGGTAGAAATTTCACCAACATCAGCTCGACAACTTTACAAATTAACGCTTCTTCTGATAAAATTTTCCCATCATCATCATCCACGCACAACAAACAAATCTGGTTTTCCAGACAAAATCAATTCAACGTGGAGCATTGGAAAAACATCAAGATTTTAATATCAACCGCTGAACGCTCTTTTTCTACATTTCCAGTACATGCTACGACTCTAACGCACTAGAGAATTATATTGCACCCTGATGTCACTGTACTTCAGACAAGTACATTTTCATCGACATGCTTAAATACGCATCGCAACCACACTGTTCGACTCTTTTTCTTTTCATCCCTCTTTTTCATTTCTTCCTCTTCAGTCTTCGTTCTGACTTTTTTCTGACATGTGGTTGCCGCCCGACATTTTTCTGATACTACGGCTTTTCTTTCGTTATTTTAAGACTGATTTGAAAATTTTTTTTTGATTTTTTCTTTTTCTTTTTTTTACCCTCCCCTTTTTTAATTTTTTTACTTCTTA